TAACCGAACCGCTATAAATTTTGGTGTCCTTTCTATTTATTTTTCTGCATTTTAATATTCGCATTTTTCTGTGATTTTATCTGTGTTTGAAATCTCTGATTTTGTTATTGTAAAATTAGTTATACTTCCGCATCAATGGGTTTTAACTTTTCGATTGTTAAAGAAATTTTTAAATAACCAATTCATCCCCCTCCCCCGCTTGATTAGCCTCAAGACTATTTTTTTAGGGTTTAATAACCCTCATAAACTTTTACCCATGATGACATTTGCACTCCTTTACAGATCTCCTGGCCTTTCTCCATCTTCCCCGTACCCATCATCACCCCATAACAACTAGTACCCACTAATTTCACTCCCAATTTGTCGTAAACCTGAGTAGAAATGAAATTGTGGGTAGCCTCACTATCAATTAACACCAGCACCTCCATGTCCTCTCACTCACCCTTCACCTTCATGGTATGATTCGTAGTGAATCGTACCACCGAGTTCAGGGAAACCTCGGCCAGATCTAAATGCAGCTTCTCTTTATCTCCTCCTCTAACTCTCCCTCAGTTTTCTCATTATCACAGACGATGAGAACCAGAAGAGTTCGGTTCCTATACCTATGCCCTGGAGTATACATCTCATCACACCTGAAACACAACCACTTTTCCCTCTTCTCCTATATCTCCTTCTCTGTTAGCCTCTTGAAATTTCCCCTACTCCCTCCTACTGTCTTCTTTCTGGTGGTCTCCTAAGTTCCTCCTGTTGCAGGACCCTTGGGTGCTAAATGAGTAGTCGTCATCCTGTAAGTACCTCCTAAGATGCTACTCCTGTTACCCCTCTCTAAATTCCTCTGATTTTCAACTAGTGCCAACTTCAGGGTCTCCCCCAAGTCACGAGGCATCAGAACTTTAATTGCCGCTCTGATCTCTACCTTTAGCCCCTTCATGAAATTTCCCTCCTATACAGTATCTGATAATTGCTCCACCCTACTGGCCAGGTGCTAAAACCGCTCACAAAAGTCTACTATTGATCACTCCTGCACCAGAGAAATCTCCTCCCCGGTCGATTTGAAAATGTTCTATTATGCAATCCTTGAATTCTCCTCTGGTCTCTCCACTGGTACCATGACAACGACTTCCCCTCCAAACATAAGCCTGCTATTGTCAGCTTCTCCTCCTTCATTAACCCATTGACAGCAAAGTAACTCTCCACCTATAATGAATGTCATTAGATCATAGTGATTGTTCGAGATGCAGTTGTAATTATGAATTTTATAATTAATCACTCCATGAGACTCTATGTTCAATAATTTTTCTAATTTGAAGATGCTTACAATTATTGAAACTCAATTTTCCTCAATTATAGTGATATTGAGAAGATTCAAAAAAAATAAAAAATGCTCTTCAAACTATAGTGATCAATGACAAATGGTCCAGTTATAGGGAAGATGATGTTGGAAAGCCTAAGTATGTAAAGAAGAAGCTTTTAGATGATTTATGATGGGATGAGATTAAATATATCTTAAATTTCACATATCTAATTTATGAGATGTTGAAAGTAACTGATACGGATAAATCTTGTTTACATCTCATTTATAACATGTAAGATTCAATACTTGTCAAAGTAAAAGAAATTATATATAGACATGAGAGGAAGGCACTTCATGAAGACTCAAGCTTTTGGGATATTATTTATGCTATTCTAGAAGATAGGTGGAGCAAAAATAATACACATTTACATTGCTTGGCTCACTCACTTAATCCCAGGTAAATTTTAATATTTTTTTATTATTAATTCACAATTTGTTATTTAATATTTTCAATATTTTTCATTATTTATTTTTAATGTTATTTGAAGATATTTAACTAAAGAATGACTTCAAGAGGATCCTCAAAGAGATTTTTCACAGAAAGTTTAGAAATTTCAAATATGAGAAAAACATGTTTGAAGCATTATTTTTCAAATCATGAGAGAAAAAGTGTCAATATTAAGCTTGCTAATTTTTTTGTTATTTAGAAGACTTCGGTGACCAAGAGTTATTGCATGATAGGTGGAGAATTGATCAAAAAATGTGATTGATTATACATGGAGCTTCAGCACCTCTACTTCAAACAATCGCCATAAAATTGTTTGGCCAAGTTTCATCCTCATCTTATTGTGAAAGAAATTAGAGCACATACTCGTTCATTCAATCAATGAAGAGAAATAAATTTACTCCACAACGAGCTGAAGATTTAGTTTATGTGTATACAAACCTTCGGCTTCTCTTAAGAAAAACTCAAACTTATATGGAAGGAGACAACAGGATATGGGATGTTGCTGGAGATAAATTTGAATCTCTTGAGGATATGGGAATATTAGAAATTGCTAATCTTTCACTTGATAAGCCTTAATTGGAAGCTATGATATTTATTGAAGATGATATAGAAGTTCAAAGACAAACCACTGAAGAAGCTAGTCCTATCAATCCTTCTATTGAATAGTTGAAACTTCATGTGCTAGACATTTTTTTTGTTGTTGTACTAGACATTTAAATATTTAATGCTTACTTTTATTTTGATATTATAAAATACAATGCTGCTACAAATGATTTTGCTTTCGATTTCTTGTCATTTCAAATATTACGCTTTGATTAATATCTTAATTTTTATGTATGATTTATATATTATAATGTTGTATCTGCGCCATACCCGTATCTTGTATTTTTAAGAATTGGCGTGGCCCATATCCATATCGTGTCGTATCTCTGTCCATGTATCTATATCGGTGCAAAATAGCTTAAAACTATTAAAAACACATATTCAACACTCAAGATATTATATTTACTAACATACCACCTAAAATCTTCCTTTTTCCTCTATTATAAGACTCTATTTAAGCCCCGTTAGAAATCCTTGTCCGCCTCACATCGTCTTCCGTTTGTTCGTGAAGTAATGTCTTCCACGTCCAGCTTGTGGTTGACATACTTTACTTTCTCCAGCTTGTGGTTGACAAGAATGGCAACTCAAAAGGCACCTCGACCAATCTGTTCCATCATCTCATATTGATCCATCCAATACTCCATTTTCATATGGGAAGGAGAAACCCACAAAATTCTTTTTTTTTCTAAGACCCAATCTTTAATCCCTCAAATTATTCAAACTTTTGCAAGTAGCCCATCAATCCCAATGGAAATCATTCCATCAACTAACAAATTAATTCTGCTAATCTCACAATATCCCCTCTAATTTTCAAAGCAAAAAACTCTAACATAAACACGAACAAAGAAACAAATTTGCATCTACACTCCAAGTCAAAAACTTAAATCCATCTTAGACAACCAAAAAAGACGAGTAGCAAATTGCATCCATTTTTTGGTCTGCATATAAGCTATTAAATCAAAATCAATCTCACTGCCATGGATCACCTCCTGAAAGGAAACAACAGCGCTAAGCTGACATCAAATCAAAATCCTGAATCACTTTTGAGATAACCTCACTTCATTTTCGAGATCGCCTCGAAGCTAGACGCATCTCATATATTCACCCATCGTTGGTTGTAAAGATAGTCATGATCTCCGCATAATCCAATTTTGGGTTTGGAAAGGGAAGACGCTCCTTTGGGCGAATGAATGGAAGACAACTCGAGGCGGATAGGATTTCTAACGGGGCTTAAACGGAGTGTTAGAATAGATGATTTAGGTGGTATATTAGTAAATATAATAATTTGAGTGTTGAATATGTATTTTCAATAGTTTTAAGTGTCATGTATGTAGAAATCCCTTGATTAAATTGTATTTCCTTTGACTTCAAAAGTGGGGGTTAAGGTTCGAATCCTTGATTTTATATATATATATATATATATATATATACATAACTGCTCCCTAAATAATGGATTAATGCCAGGCAGACACTGAATGGTTGAAATTATATGGTAGTATTCTACCAAATACCTTGGATATACATGTAAATGCAAAAGTGATCTAGCGATTGGTACTAATTTGATTAAGTATTTCAACACAAGTGATAGCTTGATTGTAGCTACAATTAGCCGACCGTGTATTTCAGCAAAGGACCACAACTAGTGGAAGTTCACTAACTGTTTCAAAGTGAACTATCCTGGATGGAGTCCTGGATGGAGCAGATCAAGCAACCATGCAACAACAATCAGACAAAAATTGAATAGGGGTAGAAGGATGGTGTTTTAAACAGATTTTGCTTGGAAAATTGGATGAAATTCATTTGGAGTGCTACGTTGAAATCAGAACTTAACCGGAGTGCAAATTTTGGACCATTTAAAAGAACTAGATGATAAATGTATATAGAACGAGGTGGGGATTGAAATATTCATCGGCAGGTTTTCTATGCCATGTAGGTTAACAGCTCTAAAATCTATCATATATAATAACCAGCTTGTGCAAGATTTATATCCAGTTCAATATAAACAAGTCAAGAAATTCCTGAGTTCCACATAATTCTATCACATATCCACGGGTCTGCTTTTCCTCATACTTCCCAGAGAATCAAATCCATTAGTTCCCAAACAGGGCCAAAATAGAGCCCCACTCTTTCAGTCAAAACCTAAGTGAACTCGACCCTCTTTCGCAATGTTAATCCAAATAGCAAAAATAAAAAAAACAAAAAAAAAAAAAACGTTAATCCAAATAGTAAGACAAAAGCAGTCATAAAACTTGCCAAAATCTAAGAAAAAACCTTCAAATCAGTAAAAGCTGCAAATTCTAACTTAACAAATTACCACAGAAGCCAACAATGCTTCCATTTACAAAACAAGAGAGAAAATAATTCAATAATCCTCAAGCCCGAAGACAGAAAAAAAATCATATCCAAAAAAAGACAAACCGATTGGAAAAAAGATCAGTATGGCAACCAAATGCCCGGACCCTGTTGATCGCGTTCAAATATCAGATTCCAATAAAAAGTGAGCCTAAAATCCACCACAGATCATCATGAGGGCAAATCAATCAAAATATTGGAAGCCCGTGGAAAAAGGTAAAAAGAGAGGCGAGATGCATAGACCTGACTGCGCTTCCGCTTCTGGGTGGTACTCAACGAGATCGACAACGATGAAGACTGTAAATCCATGATATCAGGATCAATGTATGAAGGGCTGCCGATGAAAAGGTGCAGACTGCAAAAGAATTCTGTGAGAATTAAGTGTGAACTGCGAGGAAAGGAAATATTTACACGATCGCTGACTTGGAATCGTGGGCGACGGCGTACTTGGATGTTTGCTGAGGATGTTCCATGGCGCCAGTCGGCAGAGGGGTTTCCACCAGGAATAGCGTAACCGTCGGCCACGATTTCCGTGGAATTAGGAGGAGAACACGATAAAAAAAAACGATGCACTCTAGTCTTCCTGTTTTCCCTTTTTTTTTTTTTAAAGAGAACAACGTTTTCTCTAGCCCATCGCAAGTCTACCAGTCAAATGATTAATAATACACTACTACTTTGGGAATAAGGAGCCAACAATCTAGCTGGAGTTAGGGAACCTGTTGTTTTTTCAGATGATTATGAGTCGGGGGTGCTACCGTGCTACAATGCATTCTACTTCTTTAAAATTTCTCTTTTTGGTTTCCAACAATTTGTAGTTGTATTATTACTTTCGTCTTTGCGAAGGTCTCTCTGAGCATTTTCTTCTTCTAGCTCAGATCATACATTTTTTTTTAATATAAACCTGCGCCGGAGCCTACGTGTTAATTTCCAAAATCAGTTACAAAATCCTTAAAAGTACCCACCAGCTCACTACTGCTCCGAAGAGCTACAATCAAAAAAGAGATAAAAAAACCTATGAGCCGGTCGGTCCTTATCCTATGCTTACAAAAATAAAAATAATAATAGAAGGAAATCCGACTGTGAGACAACGCACCCAAAAAAGGAAGATCCAATAATTCACTTTCAGTACGAACTTCCTGCAAAAATTTCAAATAAAATAGAAAAAGAAATACTTGAAAGAAAAGAGACGAACCTTGCAATTCTTTAATCCTCCATGACAGCAAAACCTGATTAGCCTGCAAGAAGGTCTCCAAAAACCAATATCATGATCGTTAAGATAAAAGAAAATAGAATCAATTTCCAGAGCATTATTCCCAAGTAACTGAAGGAAAAAAAACTTCCAGAGTGAAGCAGGTGGGGAAATACCACCGACTGAAAATACCCCTAGGACCAAAACAGAAACTATCCACCTTAAAATGCCAGAAAAAATTCAAAAAACAAGTATGACACCAATACATCAAAGTTCGTTAGGGATGTTAAGCCCTATAGAACTGGCCCAAGTTAACCAAGAGGGGGGTGAATTGGTATTTTAAAAATTTCTTTTCACAAAGAACAAAAACATGTAAACCAAAATCACACCACAAAAATAAATGCCGAAATTAAAGTGCGGAAGCAAGAAAACAAGAACACAGAAATTTATAGTAGTTCGGTCAACTCGACCTACGTCCACTCCCCGGAGGCGCCCTCCGAGTATTGCACTACAATCGTGACTCTCCTTTAGCCCCCACAGCTAGGCGGAGAAGCCTTCACAAGAACCTCCTTTTTGCCACCCAGCAAGGCAGAGAACCTATCTCCTTTTGCTTCCTCCTGAAGCTGGCAGAGAACCACAACCAAAAGCTAACTCCTTACCTCTACCGACCCTTCCACGGACGAGAAACTCTAGACGAAGAAGAAGCAGAGTGATCCTTGAAGCAACCCTTGTGAATCCCCTCACAAGCTCCCCCTCACAAGATCCTCTCAATCTCCCACTCGCTCTTTCTCTCCTCAAGGCCTTCTCAGGTCAAGGCAGCAGCCAAAGGTCCTCCAAAACGTTGAACAAGAGCTCTTAAAAAGAAGAGCTTCAAAGGAGCTCATTAATTGCAAGTTGCCGACAATATCGTCCAGGCCGATATGGACATCGGCCCGACCGATCAGTACAAAACTCAGAAGATCGGCCAGAGCATCACCTTGAATGCAAACTGGACGATTTAAAATTGACTTGATCGTCCCGGCCGTTCTCACGATCGTTCCGGCTGATCAGTTCAAAACAGAGGAAAATCGTCCAGAGCATCGCCCTGAATTCGAGCTGGCCGATATTTATCGTACTGAAGTAACTAAGGTTTTTGAATAGATCGTCCTGGCCGATCCTGCGATCGTCCAGGACGATATGATCGTATCAATCATCCTTAATTACTCCCTTGATTTCATGATCAATTAAGGCATAATTTGTTAATATGGCCGATCAATGATCGTCCTGGCCGATGATTTAAAAATACAGTATACCTTAATTTTCTATGGCGACAACTTCTTTCTATTTTGAGTTTATCGTCCTGGCCGATACACGTATCGTCCAGGACGATCTGTTAATGACGGTTGCCTTAATTAAGAATTCTTATTTAGACTTTCTGTTTTAAGCCTGATCGTCCAGGACGATGTAAATATCGTCCTGGCCGATATGAGTAAAAACAGAAATTCTAAGTCTCTCAAGTGTGTGTGTTTAGGGTTACTTAGCATCAGTCTCTTTGACCATTACAAATAGACTCAAGAAGAGAAAAAACAAAATACATACTGACTCAACCCTAAACCTACGCAATCTTGAACTGAATCCGTTTGTTGGTCCGATCTTTGATTCCTGAAAAGTTAGAAGTAACAGGCAGTCCAAGTATTTGTCAATCATCAAAACATAAGCCATGAAAATATATTTGCAACAATCTCCCCCTTTTTGATGATGGCAAACACAAGTAGAAAAAACTAAACAAACGGTTCATTAAAAATTCAAAGTTACATATCCTTTTTCCTACCACAACATACTCCCCCTTTTGTCATCACAAAAAGAGGGTCCAGATACACAAAAGAAAACAACACAACATAGCCAAAAACAGACTAAAAAGCAAACTACATAAAACAGAAAACACAGACTAGAAAAACGTGGGACCCTGATCATCAGATGGAGGTGGAGGAGGTGGCTGCTGAAAGTAGCTGGCAAGCGTGGTGAACTGAGCAGTGAACCAGGCGATGTCCTGGTCATGCTGATGCTGCTAGTAAGTAAGGTAACTGTCAAATCGGGCTAAATCCTCAGTGCGGTGCTGCTCGTAGCGGGCAATGTCCTCAGAGTGTTGATGCTCCTGTGCAGCAACGTAAGCGTCAAAGCGGGTCTCCCATCGATCAAACCTCTCTATCAACTGATCAACCGGTGAGTGCTGGTGTAGAGGAACAGGATCAGGAATGGGAGCGGGGGTGGGGGCCTCCTCCTCCCCAGCCCCCCGACCTTCCCCATCTCCTGGGTGGAGACGAGTACTATGAATGATAGTGAAGGAATTGTTTGAGTAGCAAGGAGGCTGAAGGTCGTGACGAGTAGGATATTGGAGATTGTATTTGGTTTCAAGAATGTAGGCTATGATGTGTCCTAAGGCTAGATTAGGTTTTCTCCTATGGCCTGGATCGTGAATAGTTGTTAGGTGATCGATGTAGCGAAAGAGTAGATCAGTGGCATTAAATTCTCTCCAGGCCATAATGAAAAAGGTGGTCAAGGACAGTAGTGGAGTGATATGGATTCGGTCCCCGGCTTTTGGAATTATGGAGGTGCGAAGGACATGTTGGATTGTCCTAGCATCTTTGACTAAAGAGCTAGTCTCTCCAACATGAAAAGGTGCATTGGTCTGGCGAAGGAAGTGATTCGCCGTGGACCAGTCAAGGTCAGGATCTGAAGCGATTATGTCTTACTTTCTTGCCAATCATAGTATTTATCGCCATGTGGCATATGATTTCAAAGTGTTATTTGTACCGTCACGTATTATAGATGGAATCAAAACTGATATCCCTTTTTCTGAATGGAGTAGAGTAGAACAAATTTCATGCACAATTAAATGCTAAATGTATGAATTGTTTGTTCTGTGCATTTAAATTCCTGAAGATTATATGAGAGTCTCTAATGTACTACAGGTAAGGAAATTTGGGACAGTTATGCATTACATATGAATACTAGTGAAGTCAAGCAATCGTAAGTTGAATTTTTTGATGAATTGACTATAACTTTCTTTAGCCATGAAACCTTATGAGTCGATCTTAGACATGTATTACTGGTTTTATTCAAATGTAACATCATACATGCTTTAGGTTTAAAGACTTTTCAAAACTTTGAAATAGTCAATAAAATTCTACGTTGTTTACTTGACAAGTTGTTGATGCCAAAGTTGTTGCTATTTGCGAATCAAAAAAAATTTGAATGAATATTCTATTGAATAATTTGATTGGCTCACTCATTGACTACGAGAATGTTGGGTTCAAAGACTTTTGATGCAGGTGAAACAAATAATGCTTAAAAGCGGAAAGACATGGAGAAAAGTTGGCTTAGTTTGGTAGAAAAAGCGATGGACTTTTAACAAGCAAATTGAAAAGTCCACATAAAGCACAAGCAATAACCATCAACAAATTGAATAAATAAAAATGCGTAAGAATGTTTCTGATTTCTTGCAAATATTATTGCTTTTGGATGTAGGAAATCTGGACATCTGAAAAGTCAGTGCAAAACCTAATTGAGAACTCTTCATTGCTAAAGAAAAGGGCAAAGCTAAAGAAAAATTATAAAATAGGAAAATAATGAAAAGCAAAAAACTCCTGAGCGGATCTAGCTTCTGAATCATCAACCGAGAAAAAATTGATGTTTAAAACCCTTTGTTTATTGTTTTTGTTGTATTTTATTTTTGTTTGTTTTGTGTGTTTTTGTCTGTTTTTTTTAGTGTTTTGAATGATTTTTGAAATGTTTCTCATTTGGATTCATGTTTTAGATCGATGTTAATGTATCTTTAATCTTTATGAATTCATTTATACTTTTAATCTCTATTGTGCCTAAACTAAAATGTAATTAAAATTAAATTTCATTAGAAATCTAGTTATCATAAATTTAATTTTTTGCCTATAACTTGTTTAGTTAGAATTTTTTTTTAATTTCATGTCTTTCATTTAGACTACAAAACTTAATATTATTATTATCTTAGAGCTCTATGCTTCATTTTTGTATTTCATTTTTCAATTAATATTATGCACAGTAAAAATTTGAGAGATTCTAGATATTATCTTTGGAAGAATCAATTACTCTTGGAAAATTGTACAAATTGTACAAAATCGGAAAAGGAATGGCGCAACCCAAAGTTGCAAATGTGAAAAAAGAGGCACAAAAATAAGCCCAATAAAGAAAGATGCACAAAATGTCCGACCATATGAAAAAAGATGCGCAAACGCCACTTGTGGTGATTTTTTTTTCTTCCAGATTCTTTTTTATCTATTAATTCAAGTAAGATCTTAAGTTCATTTATATTTCAATTGATTTTTGGAATATGCAATTTTTACTCATCTTTATTACAATGGGATTTTTTCATATCATAAATGTCATAAATTGAATCAGTTTTCATAAAAATTCTTACTTATAACAATTTTATATCAATTTTTTAAATTCTATTTAAATTCTATGATTTGACTAAATGTTCTTAATTCTTAGTTGCATTCTTTATGTCAATTCACTTTTTTAGATTAAAAATTTACATATGAATTTT